GTTGCCAGAGGAAAGGGGAAGGAGGAATGGGGAGTGACTGCCAATGCATATGGAGTCTCTTTTGGGGGTGATGAAAATATTCTGAACCAGACTATGGTGATAGTCGCACAATTTTGTGAATATACTAAAAATTATTGAATTGTACACTTTAAGAGAGTGAATTTTATGGTATGTCAATTATATCTCAATTTAAAAAATATTTGGTGTAAATGATTTTATGCTCCAGTGTTGATAATTGATAAAGGCTTAATGAGAGGCTCTTCTCAGCATTATGGTTCAACTCAGACCAACTCCTCCCTACAAAGGCTACAGAATCTATTTTGTCAAAAAGTCCAGCTCTTAGGAACTTTGTTCTTAGCTGTGGTTGCTACCAGGCTGCCTCTGAGGCCTGAAAAATCGTGTAATAGGCAGTAGAGGTTGAATTTTGTCTTTTAGTATCTATGCTTGCTTTCCTGCAGTATGAGTTCCTTAAAGTCTATTGCTAACTTGCACTCATAGGCTGCATTGAAAGAATGAAGGGTCATAGTGAGGCACTTTACAGTTTATAGAAAAGCATGTTCACATTTACCACTCCTTTGATCTTACACATTTAGATTTAAATTGGGCATTCTGAATGGCCACACAACAGCAGGCCCTAAACTCTAGCCCCAACCTCTCCGACTCCAAAAATCAAATCATTCTTAGAACAACTAAAATGTGCTTCTGAGCAAGTTATGGAGAAATGGCCTCCCACTCGCCCTCCCAAGAATATTATGAAGGCTCTTAGCCATTTAAAGAACAACTTCTGGCCAGGCACAGTGGCTCATGCCTGTAATCCCAGCACTTTGGGAAGTCGAGGAGGGCGGATCACGAGGTCAGGAGATCGAGACCATCCTGGCTAACATGGTGAAACCCCATCTCTACTAAAAATGCAAAAAAACTAGCCAGGCGTGGTGGCGGGCATCTGTAGTCCCAGCTGCTCGGGAGGCTGAGGCAGGAGAATTGTGTGAATCCAGGAGGTGGAGCTTGCAGTGAGCCGAGATGGCGCCACTGCACTCCAGCCTGGGTGACAGAGCAAGACTCCCTCTCAAAAAAAAAAAAAAAAAAAAAAAAAGAAGAAGAAGAAGAAAGAACAACTTCCACCAACAATCTTTTTTTTTTTTTTTTGAGACAGAGTTTTGCTTTTGTTGCCCAGGCTTGAGTGCAACACTTGGCTCACTGCAACCTCCACCTCCTGGGCTCAAGCAATTCTCCTGCCTCAGCCTCCCAAGTAGCTGGGATTATAGGCGTGCATCACCATGCCCAGCTAATTTTTTTTGTATTATTAGTATAGACAGGGTTTCACCATGTTGGGCAGGCTGGTCTTGAACTCCTGACCTCAGGTGATTCGTCCACCTCGGCCTGCCAAAATGCTGGGATTACAGGAGTGAGCCACCACGCCTGGCCTCCACTAACAATCTTATATTGGTCTGCATTATGCAGAATGACCTGGACTATTAGTCATGAGGCAGTACCAGATATTAAATAGCTTGGTTTCAGTATGCTCATCTCATTAACCATGTGGTTTGGGGGTCCATTTTCAACTTGCAGGGGACACACACACACACACACACACACACACACACACACCTCTCTTTACAGTAGGACATTGAGTCACCTATCTTTTCCCAGCAGTACTGTGACCAGGGCTGAGTTCCCACTTGCATTTCCTTCCTCCCTCTCTCCCTCCCCCTTCCTCCCTTCCCCTCTCCCTCCCTCCTTCCCTCCCTTCCTTCCTTCTTTCCTTCCTTTTTTTAAAAAAATTATGGTCAAATATACATAACATAAAATTTATCGCTGTAACCATTTTTAACTGTACTGTTTAGTGGTGTTAAGTACATTCTCACTGATCTCCAGGCATCACCATTATCCATCTCCAGAACTTCTTCTTGAAAAACAGAGACTTTGTATTCATAAAACATTAACTCCCCATCCCCCTCTCTCCACCCCAGCCTCTGGTAATCACCATTTTACTTTCTGTCTCTGTGAATTTGACTCCTCTTAGATACCTCATGTAAGTGGAATCACACAATATTTGTCCTTTGGCCACTTGTATTCCTTGATGGCAAAGAGTCATCTTGTTCCAGAGCTGGCCCATAGGACCAGGTGTTTGATGTGGCAGCCAGGAAGGACAGCAAGAGGAAGGATAGCAGAGTCTGGAGTGCAAACACATCCCCAGACAGAATCAGGAGGGCTCCCCTCATCCTGTCGACAGCTGGAAATTCTTTCTGCTCTTCAACAAGTTGAGTGTTACAAACAGGAGACTTTTCAAGCCCAATCCCAAACACAGGAATTCGTCCCTCGTCAGTCTGTCTCCTGGGCCCCATTGAGACAGCTGGACTTCCCACGCAAGCGAAAGCATTCAACCGGGAGTGCCTTTTCCTGGGCCAGCCTGTTCCAGCTTACCCTTGAAGGAGACCATCAGCTCCTGAAGAGCAACAGCTATTTTTCTGTCCCAAGTTGTGTAGAATGCAGTGTAGAGCACTTTTAAAAAGTCCATTTTGGCTATTAGCAGCAATCAATGCAATCTATGCCAGCTCAGGTTGGCATGATAATTTTATTTACTTAGCTAGTCCTTTGAAATTCACAGCAAGGATATGAGCCTCATGCATGATCCTCCCAGTGGCTTTTGTACAGGTGAATGAACCGATTCCTTATTGCTGGAAAAAAAAAAAATCTTACGCTGGACTTGGAGTCAGGCCACAGCTAAACTGGAAGCAAGGAGACTAGAAAGTGAACATGGACCTGACAGGCTCTGTGATGTCCCAGGCCTAATCTGGTGGGAGTCCTGAGAACAGCCTGTGCTGTGTGTGCCCAGGTGCAAAGAATATGTAAACCTTTCCCAAGTGAAAAAGCTTAGCTTTCTCCAAATTCCCATTTGAAACTGCCTGTGTGACTGCAGAGTATGCACACTCATGCAGATAGGTGGAGTCCTATTCAACTTCTACAAAACACATTCATTTGTTGATTTGTTTTATTTCTGTATGGTACATTTCCTCCTAGGAGCTGCAAGGGTTAATAAGCTTCAGCAATCCTTTTACAATAGAGATGCTGCAAGGAGGGCAGAAGCTCTAATCACTCTGCAGAAGACCCAGCTGGAGGACATGGGATCTCAGGTGGGGATCAAGGGTTGTGAGAGTGGGAGGAAGATGTAGAGAAGAAGAAGTGTTTCACTGGAGACAATGTAAAACCATGCCATCCTTTGCTGAAAGGGACAGGGAAGCAATTTCCCTGGAGGTTCAGAAAGTAGAATTATAGTTGCTGTTGGATGTTAAGTGCAGATCTGGAAGTCGTGGTGAAAAACTAGGCTGGTTAACACTGGATGCTTATCCAAAGCCTCTGTTCTGATTCTGGTTGCCCAGTTTGTAGGAGGAAGAGCAGAAGAGAGAGTTGAGTGCAACTGTGGAGGGCACGTGGAGACACTGGGTAACAGCCTGGGATTCTTTGTTTTTCTGAGCACGGCATCAGGTATCAGAAAGGTGGGGCTGGGATGTGGGTCTGCTGCTGACCAGCATTCTGACCTGGAGCTGACTCTGGCCACAGTTCTAACATCTGTGAAATGAGAGAATAAGATCTGATTTAAATTTAACAAACTTCTATTAAAGATGTGTAGGACACAACATTGAGTAATAACTGTTCATGGCCTGCAGGGTTACACAACTGGGGAGATGAGACACACACACACATACATTCAGATGTGGCTGTAATGGGGAACGAACAGTATTTTAAGGGAAAATGAGGCAGGAGAGAAATTGGTTTCACCTTTGGAGGAGGTAGGCCTTGAGTATGGTTGAATAAGGTGCTGATGGGTGGAAATGGACATAAAGAAGAGGAGGTGTCTCTGGAAGATAAAACAGGCGAACAAAAAGAGGGACCAGAAGACTGGACAGGTGCAGAGGGGCAGCTCTGGCAGTGAGCAGCAGGTGGCTATGGTGTGAGCACAGGTACATATCACATAGCAGGGACTCAGGCAACATCTACTGAGTGACAGTGGCGGCAGTGAGGTTGTACTGGAAGACAGGGGAGGCACATGCCTGTGGAGTTCATATGGGTTTCTAAGAGGGAGATGGGCCATTCTGATGGGCTCTGTGTCCAAGGACAGGGAGACCACAGGAGAGGAGGCCCAAAGGCTGAGAGGTAAGGTCCAGGAGGAGATGGAAAGGGTTTGAATTCAGATAGCAACACCAGGGTGGGAGGGATCTGAAAAAGAGTGCAGATGCTCCTTCAGGTGTTCGGAGGCTGATCAGACATGCAGGGAGACAGAAAAGAAAGAGATGAAGAGAATGTTGGGTTTCGAGCCTGGGCAGTGGGAAGGGTAGAAATACAGAAAGAGACAAGCAGCCTCAAGGAGAGGTTTGGGGAGGAGACGATCAGTTCAGCTTTGTGAGAAGCTGTGCAGGGTGTCTAAGCAGAGACGGCCAGCAGGCTCGGCCAGTAGAAACGTGGGGATTTGGGGAGCTGGAAATCAGTGGCTCATGGAAACACGGGCTGAAGATGTGGACACGGAGGAGATAGAAGTGATACGCTGGGAGAGGAGGCCCGGTGGGCAGAGGAGCAGAAAAAAAGCACAGGGATGGGAGAGAAATGGAAACCTGGCAGGAAGTCACCAGGAGAACCCATGGAGGGGACGCAAAGGGTGTGGGGGAAGCCCAGAAACTCTGAGGAAGCAGCTAGGGAGTTGGCTCCAGCGCCACCATCATGAGGAGGGCCACTGAGAATGGCCTTCAGCAGCAGCTGATGGCCAGGGCTGGAGAAGAGGAAGGTGAAAGGACCCAGTGAGAAGTGTGTGATAAAGGGGACAAGAGCAGACATGGTGTGCTGAGAGAAAGTCGTCTAAAGGAAGACCTTTTAGGACAAGGAAGAGGATGCCATGCTTGTGGCTGTGCACTGGAAGCACCAGAGATCCTGCTGCCACACAGCTTCCGGTCCAGGCCAAGGACGGCGGCCACTTGGTGTGGAAGACACAGGAGCTGTTGCGTTTGGACCCAGGTATGGAAGTTAGTTTTGCAAAGGAGGTGGGGACCTCCTCTGCTCTCGAGGGAAGGAAGGGTGGTGATGTGAGTGAGTGAGCTCTGAGCGGGGTGAGAGGAGACTCCAAGGGCCCTGTGGGAAGGCCTGGACCTGCTCAGTAAGGGGGGTGCTGAGAGATTCTGCAGGTAGAAGGTAGAGTTGGGGGTCTGAGGCATCTGAGGAGAGTGACAGTGGCCAGCTGACAGTGGCCTGAGGGGAGAGCCGGGACTCAGCCTGGGCTGGGCCTGCAGCCACACCTCCTCTGGGGCCTGGCAGCCGGAGGTGTGGAGTGAATGGAGTGGATGGCCATGCGGGGCCCTCGGGGCAGGCCTGGGGAAAGTCAAGAGTGAGGGTGCTGAATGCCTGAGATCAGGCAGGCAAGGGAGCCCAGGGAAGCTTCTAGGGGGAGAGGTGGGGGCACAAGAGCCAGGGTGAGAGCAGGAGAAGGGACAGGTGAGGGGAGGAAGCTGCGGCTGGAGAGTGGACATCAGCAGCCGAGTGGCTGGAGGTGTCTGAGGGAGCCAGGCAGGTAAGTGACAGATAGACCAGTGCAGCGGCTGAGAAGTGGAGTCCCCGAAGGAAGGGCCACAACATGGAGAATGGAGTGGCTGGGCTGGCTGCAGAGCTGATGGGTGACTGAGGAAGAGGGACCAGCAGGGCTGGAGCAAAGAGCCTTGGCTAGGGAAATTGCTGTGGACAGGCCTAAGCAACAGCACCTGTTGGGAAGCCAGGAGGCTCCCAGAGGCAAAGGGGGCCTGCTCTGTTCATGTTCACTTAACCCCACTCCTTGAAGGCCTGGGCTGAGGTGCTGAGGCCTGAGTTTCATGCTCGGGAACTGTGATGCTGAGGGGAAGGCATGAAAGGTGGCTCCTTCAGCTGCTGACCCATGGCCCTGCAGCCTGCCCAGGAGCACTCTGCAGCCACCAGCTACCTGCAGCTGCTTTCCTCGTCCAGGGACGTTAAAGCCCCATTCTAGGTCAGGCCCTTAGGCATGGGGAGTCCAGCAGTTCCTCTTTCACAGCCCCAGGACTCCCTCACCATGCTACAAGCAGGGCCCCTCTGAAGCCGAGCATCTCCTGTGTGCTCCCAAGCCAGGGAACTCGCACTAGGGAAGGATTCAGAGTGGCGGTGGGGGACAGGCCCTCGGCACTTCCCTGTTAAGAGAGACAAGCCAACAGCACAGCTGGACGCCCCACTCGCAATTTGTTCAGCTCAGTTTGATTCTCTTTCTCTTCCTGGTGAGCTTCAGTTTGGAGTTGTTTGCTCTTCATCAGCAGTTTCTGGAAATGTGGTGTTTGGAGAGGGTTAGGGAGGCCTAAAAGAAGGGCAGGGAAGCTGAGAGGCTGTGCTGGTGCCCAGCTGCACCTGGGGTGGTCTCCCATGGCGTGTGCCATGCCCAACCCTCAGGCCTGCCGCCCTCATCAGACCTAGGTGTCCTTTCTTAGGCCTTTCAGGACCTTTGGCCTCATACCACCCCTGGCTAGAAACTGCCACAGGCTCCTTCCACCCAAACCAGAACCTTCCTTTCTTGATTCCTTCCCCTGAAGTCTGGGATTTCTTTGCCTTTCGGCCTGGCTCTTCTTTCCTCTGGAGGCCTGTGTGAGAAGGGCAGGAGGTAGGGCCAGGCCTGTCCTCCCAGGCAATCGACAGCCCCTCCTCCTGCATTGCCAGCCACACTCTTTCTCCCCAGCACCCCACAGGATGGCTTTGGCCCTCCTTAGAATGTGCCTCCCTGGGGCTGTGTGCTCCCCATCCTTTCCTGGTGCCCCATGGTATTTGTCCACAGCAGAGGAGGGAGGCACAAAGGCTTTGTACAGAGACCCCGGGCAGAAGAAGATAAATGGAATTTGCAATAAATCCAGGAGCAAAGTTGTAACTTGACTTAAAAACAAACAAAAGGGCCAGAACTGCACTTAAGCTCGGCAGAAGCTCATCTCCCAGTGTAAACAGAAACGGGCGGACGTGGACTGAGGAGCCTCACGGGCCTGGGCTGGCAAGGGAGGGGTCTGGAGCAGGGCTGGCCTCAGACTTCCTCTGGAAGAGATGGGCTGTGGGGGAGGGTCTCTGTGGCCTTGTGAAAGGAGAAAGAAGGTGCTGGCATTGTTGTTGTTTGCCACGCATTTTTCCATGACTTACTCTTTCAAAAGGATACTCTCAGGATTGGGACAAGAAGGTTGTTTTCAAACTGGTGCTGGGCAGATAAAAGCTGGGACCAATGGAGAGCAAACAGAAGTGCTGGCATGAGCTCCCGGCCTCAGCCTTCCCTCGACACTGGAGCTCAGTTAAGCCTCTCCACGGGCTCAGAGGGGCTGGGTGCGCCACACTGTGTTTCCCTCAGTGGCCCGCCCGCATGACCCTGGAAAGGTCATTCTTGCTGCAATCACTGTGCCTCACCGAGAAGTGTGAGGCTGGACTTAAATTATGGCACCTTGTCTTTATATGTGACACTTCATAATTTACATATGACACTCCATAATTTACATATGACACACCATCGTTTACATGTGACACTCCCTAATTTCAACATGCCTGCACACACCTGCGCCCCCTCAACTACTCAAGGAATTGGGTGGATCAGATATTATCATCATCTTATGGGTAGGGAAACTGACACAGACAAGTAAAGAGACCTAGCCAAGGTCACACAGCAAATTAGCAGTTGCCCCAGGTCAGTGCGGTGGGAAAGGTGGGTCCCGAGGTACAGTTCCGACTCAGTTAATAACAAACTGTGTCATCTTGAACGAGCTGCTTAACCTCTCTGGGCCTAGGCTTTTGTCTAAGATGCGATTCTTTCCAAGGGTTAAACAGATTGGCTCCCACCCTCTTTAACTCTTTGTGGCTGGGTTTTTCAAAGTCAGGAACCCCAGGGAACCCAACGATGTGTCTAGGACCATACAAAACCACAGTTTAAACATGGCATAGCTTTCCAGAGCCTCATGTCTACACTCAGATATTTTTGGAGGAAAAAAAGCCAACATAATGAAATCTTTTTTCAGATTGTAAAATAAGATGGTGATATTGTAGAAGATGCAAAAATTCCAATTTGAAAAGCGAAACAGAAAACTTCAAGGACACGTGGTGCTTGCTGTCGTCTGTTTGAGGTTCTGCAGAGTACGTATTTGCTCCCTCCTGCCTCCTGGGAGCTTGGTGGCAGAGTTTGGGAAGTGTTGCCAGGGAACCCACCCTGAGAAGCCTGGCTTGGCTCTTTCTAATGCGTAGTTGAGCCTCACTAGGCAGTGAACTGCCCATGTTCCTGGTGAAGGTGAGATGGAGTTGTTTTCACAGCATCTTACATAGTTGTTCTGGTCCTAAGCTGCATGTTAGAATCACCTGATGAGCTTTCAGACAATACTCATGCCAGAGTCCCACCCGGCCCAAGTGCACCAGAGTTCCTGCGAGTGTGGTGAGGGCACACTGTGTTCTAAAAACTCCCCGGTGATTCGAAAGTGCAGCTTCCGCTGGGGACACTGACTGACAGTTTAGACTTCAGAGTTCAGGGATCCTCAGAGTGTCTCTGTCCCTGACAGAAAACAGTGGCACAGACAGCGTGTCCCCTACTCTCTACCTACCAACCACACTTAGACTAGCGGGCGAATGAGACTGCATTCCAGAAGCCCACCCCCAGCTAAAGAAAGGGTGCGGAGGTTAGGGGTGAGTGGAGAACAAGATGAAACTTTGCAGGGGAGCAGGAAGGCTGTCCTGTGTTGGATAGCGTCCCCCCAAATTCATGTCCTTTCCAGATCCTCAGAACGTGACCTTATTTGGAAATAAGGTCGCTGTAGATGTAATTAGTTAAGACACAAGAGTGGGGTAGGCCCTTTGTCCAATGTGACTACTGTCCTTATGAGAAGAGAGAGAGACAGCACACGTGCAGACGGAGGTGCACGCCCAAGCACACCAGGAGCTAGACGAGGCCTGGAACAGGCTGTAGAAAGTAAATGTTCCTCTTCAAAGTTTCCCTTCTTGTTAAACTGTTAGCCAGTCGGGTTTAGTTTGGATTGTGAGGTCTGGCTCCAGTCAATGGAGACAAGACACAGTAGCAGGGACAAACTGCGTAAGGAATAAAAATTGCTTCCCTCCTTTGCTCAGGTGTGCTCTCGCCATTGTTCCATCTGCGATGAGCACCCTTTCTGCAGAAAGTAAAAATGGCCTTGCTGAGAGAATTAAATTTATGTTTGAGTGCTATTTCTTTGCAGCACCAGGGAACAAGCATTCTGTTTCTAAATAAACATTTTACATATAACACAGGCTCTCCCTCGGCGCACCCAGAAGGAACCCGCCCTGCTGTGACACCTTGATTTCAGACTTCTTGGATCTAGAAATGTGAAAGAATGAATTTCTGTTATTTTAAGTAAAACTTGACCAAGTCAGCCCTATAGGAAACTAATGCAGAGGCTGATGTCAGTGAGGCCTCCCTTAAGGACTGGAGGGAGGGAGGCTGTGGCACCCCCCTGGCCACACTGGTGGGCATCTGAAGAGCCACAATGTTGCTGGCTTGACGCCAGCAGTTTTTTGAAGGAAATGAACACTGGTGGGCTTGTTTTACTGAAAAGCTGAGGGGACGGAGTAAACACGACCTATCCAAAGTGTCACTCTCTGAAGAAAAGATGAGAACACAGGATCCAGTTCACTCACTCCTTCATTCACTCACTCACTCGCTGACCACACCCCCTCAGGGAGCCCTACCATGCGCTAGGCTCCCAGAACACAAAAGTACATGAGACCAGAGCAGCCTGGCCCTGGCCTCAGGGAGCCTGAGCCAGTGCTCTGCTTATCAGTGAGGAGGCGGGCCCACGGGCACTAAGATTTCTCCAACCGTGACATTCGATGACTTAGAGGGAGGCAGGAGGGCAGCCCCGGAAACCATGGCGCTGCCAATGGGGCATTTTCTGTGGTCACAGCTGTTAACGGGCAGGGCCGAGGAAGGGCTGAGGGGCTGTACACCCATGAGGACATGGAGCTGGCCCCCTGCTCTCCTGGGGCACCTGGTGAAGCACACTTTACTGGAAGGCTGATAGGATCAGGGACAAAAGGCGGCCTGGCCTGGCCGGTGCAGCCTCTGGCGGGACACTGCGGGAGGTGAGATGGGCTCAGTGGCCACCGATAATGGTACGAAGCTGAAAAATCTCTAGAATATTTCCAGCCCTTTGCACTTATCAAATATCACAATAGAAACCCTAGCAATTTGTGTAGGACCCTTTCCAGAAGGAAGGGGACTTCACCGGCGTGGCCTTGTGCAGGGGAAGTTTCTTGGAGTTCCAGCCTGGGAGTAGGCTGGGTCTCCCTGTTCTGGGCTCACCCCACCTTCTCCAGCCACTCTCGCGTGCACCTGGCCTCACCATGAAAGGCGAATTTCTAGACGGACTCCTCAGCCAGGAGACGTCTGCACTTCTCAGGCTCTTTGGTTTTCCCTTCACATTTTTAGGAGTTACGTGACACCCAGCAGCCAGCGATCCTGGCAGGCTAAGAAATACAAAGTTCAGGGTCTGAGGCCGTTGTGGCCTCCACTGTGGTTTTTCTGGAGCTCTGTTTCATTTGGGCTGGAGTGAACGCTTCCCTCCGGAGACCCCAGCAGGCAGAGGCTGAAGAAAGTTGAAGGAACAGTCATTTCCACTGTGGTTGGGTGGTGTTCGTCTGGCACGGAGGCAGCCTGACAGCATGCGGACAGGGGGCCAGGGCGGCCGCAGGGCTGGACACACTGAAGGAGCGGCCTAAGGCGAGACGCGGCATGCCCAGGCTCCCTCTCCGTCTTCAGGACAGCTTCACAACAGCAGCAATCATTAACTCTCCAAGTGTTTTTATTATAAGTCCATGTTACCTGACACTTCAGCAGAATTAAAACAGAACAACCATTTGCAGTTAACTTGGCCTTTTATGACCTCACAGACTTTTACAAGGATGTCTCAGGTCACCTTATTTTCAGAGGGAAGGCAGGAGGCATGATAGGGACCCCAAGAAAGAGCTGAGAACAGACTCCCAAATCGAAAAGATAAATGAAAAAAAGTAGATAATGTGTTTTATGGTTGTAAAAGCAACATATAGTCACAGAGGACAATTTGGAAGACACAGAAAAGTATAAAAAATCACGTAGAAGCTACACATCCCTACAGACCACTATCAGTATTCTGGGCTGTATCCACCCTTCCTGGTGGTGAAAAGAGCTCTTTGCATGTGTGCCTTAAAAACAAAAGTGGACCCAGCACTTTGGGAGGCCGAGGCGGGCGGATCACAAGGTCAGGAGATCGAGACCATCCTGGCTACCCCATCTCTATAAAAGTAC